TTTCCCTTTCAAGCTTGTGGGAGAGGAATCTTTATCCCGGTGTTAAATTTGGAATCAGTGTTCACCTCCGAGATGAAATTGAAATGGACGTTGCTGCTCATTCATAAAAATCTAAGCAGCATTCTTGCAAACATTCAGCTGGCACTGATGCTTTGCAGACATCAAAACAATTTTGTTTGCTTTAGTTGGTATTCTCTGTGGCATAACAGTGGGTAATGAAATGTGATCATTATATAATCCCCATTTGTTCTCTCTCCACTTCCTTCTCAGATGCCATTTGTTATTTGACACAGTTAACTAAGTTTGCGTTACAGCTTGTTTGCTTTATTCTGCCAGATGCTTCTGTTGCTTCTTGTAATAAAAGATCATATATGTTATTTGATGTCTTCATGTTAATTTTCATGTACATCAAAATGGTAGATGATTTTTTGCTTAACATGTAATTCAGTTCCATTTAGTTATTTTGTTTCATCTTTTGCATTCTCAGCACTGTGGTTCATAGTTTGTTGTACTGTACATGCAACGAATATTTACAGTCTGCACAAGTGCTGTTTGAGTGACTGACATGTATACGACAGAAAAGTAAAGTACAGTAAATAAAGTGTGTGAGAAATACAAATATTGCTGATGTAAAGCTGATGTAATCTGGCAAGGAGCTGCAGTAAAATATGAGAGATGCAACATATTTCTGATAGATTCCTTTGTCCTCAGAATATTGTAAACAGCTTTTTTTGCCTGATAAACATGAAAAGTCATCGATCTGTTACGGAAAGTGGATTGTGTTTTATGTAATATTGGTATCTCAGTGATTCTTTTATAGTTAGTTAAGATTCAGTCTTACAATTTTTGTTGGTGAGGATCAGGGCACCTGGCGTTGCAATACATCTTTGAGGGTCCTCACAGAAATAATTAAACAGCATGATGGAAAAAATGTAGTGATTTGTTAAAACATCAAACTGTACAGCAGCTGGCTTTATTGATTACCACACGTTTAACTTGAGAGGAGCAGCTAATCAGTGGCCTGGTGAAGTGTCTGGTTGACTTAGAGCTCTGCATGTATTCAGCCTCTGCATCAAACACCTTTTAAGATCCTGCTCTAAAATTTATACATTTTTTTTGTCCTAAATTCGAAGTCTAACTTTGTGATTGGAGGAAACACGAGAGCAAGTTTATGCTAAATGCTTCAAGTGTGTTGCGCTGCAATCTGAGTCCAACCAGCTCCACTAATATGTAGCGTAGGCCTGTCTAGACACATCAGATCTGTTGTGGGGGAGTGAACAAGCAGACCCAGATGAGTGTCAAAATAGTATGCTCATCAAGTACCAGAGCAGCGCTGCTGCTTTGGTGGAGGCTACAGAAGCTTCGACTGCTGTGACCTGTAATTCAAACCAACTTCTGGTGCATTTCTTGTAATCTAATGAGTAAGCAGCCCTCCTACTGAAGTTTTACAACATCCAGTATGTGCTGCACTTTGTACATTCGTCGCAAAAATATATCAGAATGATTTTATCTTTATGCATTCAGTTTGTGCCTTAAAATTATTAACATGAAAACTAAGTATAGCCATGTAAGTTTATCACTAGATAGAGAAAATAAACTTTGACCTCAAAATATTAATATGTGCCAACATTTTTAATTTGACATAGGCTCTTTCACTGATTTGATTCTTCTGCTTTGTTTGGACTGTTTTTCTAAAACCATGTAGCATGTTTTGTCAAATATCTATTTGTATTCACCACCTTCGTCTACAGAAGTTGATACTTTTGGATAACTACTTGGACAACAGCTGCAGATTACCAGTTACTGTATATTCTAATATGCACATGAAGAAACGAAAAGAGTGCAAGAAAATAAGTAAATGGCTTTTCC